TATTTTTAACACTTCGAAAAGAGACTGTGGATAAAGTATTAGAACGTTTCCGCAAATCACCTATTTAGAATTCGTCTCTCAGAGGTAAGACTTGCTAGTGCACATGAGTAGCCTAAATATTAGGGTAAATCACGCTAATACGCGCAACTGTACACCATGAAAAAAACATTAAAACCTTTAAGCACAGGATTCTGTAGCCGTTGTAGGTTGTTTCGTAATTCCAAAAGCTGATCGAAAGATAGCTTTCGTGTGTAACAGAAAATTCGTACGACCTAAGGATTTTTCTTATAATTTTCATCAAAGCTCTATTTACTCTAGGCTAGAATTTGAATGTAAATAAAACAGCTAAGTGTTTAGAGTTTAATACTGGCCTTGTTATTCATCAGTTAAAATATTACAAACTATACAAAATAAATAATCGTCAACCTTCATCGTTTGAGACATCTTTAAAAATTATAGGACGCCAGATGTTTGAGAAAATTAAAGCAATAGACTGTCCTGATATACTGCATAACTTAAAACGCGGCCTGGTATAGGTTAGGGCGCTGGAATCGCAATCTGAAGGTCGCGGGTTCGAATCCTCGTCACACGAAACATGCTCGCCTTTTCAGCCGTGGGGGTGTTATAATGTGAAGGTCAATCCCACAATTCATCGGTAAAAGAGTAGCCCAAAAGTTGGCGGTGATGACAAGCTGCCTTCCCTCTAGTCTTACACTGCTAAATTAGGGACGGCTAGCGCAGATAGCCCTCGTGTAGCTTTGCGCGAAATTCAAAACAAACAAACTTAAAACGTGCATTTTACAGTCAAGTTTCATTTGACACTCTGCTATACACACATGAACTTCGACTATTAGACACATAAAGTTAAATTAAAAGAAAAAAACCTCCTTTAAATCCTTATTTTCGTGATTTAATAAAATGTTTATTTCGGTTTAGTGTCTACTCCTAGAAACAGTTATTACAGATTATAAGAAACAAGACTATGAATTTGTAATAAAATTTTCGAAGTTTTGCGAAGCGGTATGTCTGCGGAGTTACAACACTAGAAACCGGGTTTCGATACCCGTGGTAGGCAGAACACAGACAGCCCTTATGTAGTTTTGTGCATAATTAAAAACAAACAAACAGTTCTGCGAAAGACAAAACGAACATGAATATTATTCGAATTTTACGAAACGACGAGTTACCCATAAAATATTTAACTTATATATCCGTTTCGTTTGTGGTAAAAATATTTCATCTTTCGCAATTAAACTAAAGAGTGTGAACTTTAGTGTTCAGAATATTTAACACTTGTAAAGATTCAGATAGCTGCTGTGAATTATTCAACCAAAGTTGATCAAGTACAACCGAGGTGGGAAGAGCATGGATAGCCAATTGTGTAGCTTTGGTTATGTAATAATTATTTCTATCGTTCAGTCAGTATTTTTATAATACGACATTTCTCTGTATTGTTAACCAACGCCACCTACAATTAATTAAAATAAGCTTTCACGGAACATAAATTGTAAAAAAATAAATAATAAAAACTATTCATTTATAACGTTACAGTCTGTTCATAAATATTATCTGTAAGATGTGGAACCTTTTGAAGTTTATCATTTGTTTGACTAATCTCCAAATGTTTATATCAGACGTCTCTTTTTTTTTATCTGCTGAGTTTTTCTAGAATATAATACTGGAAAAATCAATCATAGCAGTAACAAACATTTTTAGACTCTTGTTGAGCAGGGTTTGTACTTACGGAGTTCTCAAGTTTGAATTTAGAACAGAAAATAATAATAATAAATAAATAAATAAGATATCGTTTTCCGAAACCGACCATGGTGTTTTCTGAGTCCATAAACCTTATATTTAAAATATTTTTTGTTACACTCTGATAAGCCTAGTGGATTTGTTGTACACGACTTTTTATGCAAATTTTGATATTAGTACATTTATGTATTAAACTTTAAATAATGGATGTAATATTGAAAATATTCTAGATCTTCAAATAAATCTGGTTTTGTTCTTAATTTTATATTATTTGTTTGTTTTTAATTATGCACAAAGCTACACAAGGGCTATCTGTGCTCTGCCCACCACGGGTATCGAAACCCGGTTTT